GCTTTACACTGGAAAGGTGAGGGAAGTTGATAAAGAGGAGGATGGTTTGTACCTACTGCTAAGGAATTTGTCAAAAGATCAATTAAAGCACCAGTTATTTGCTGTACCTGAAAAGAAGCTAGGAGGCTAGGACATGGATCTGCACAAATGTTGAGTAAAGTTTTTCCTGTTAATTCAGTAGTGAATAAAGTGCTAAATGAGTGTAGTGTATGTCCTTTTGCAAAACAAACCAGAAATATTGTTTCCTGTTAGTAGTATTAAAAGTAGTCAAATTTTAGATTTGATTCATTTGGATGTATGGGGTCCATACAAACAGGCAATTTTTGATGGTAACAGATTTTTTCTTACGGTAGTTGATGATTTCTCAAGGATGAGTTGGTTATTTCTGTTAAAAAGTAAAGCAGATGTGTGTGTAGCTTTAGATTATTTTCTGAAGTTTGTCAAGATACAATTTGACAAAGTGGTAAGGAAGGTAAGGTCTGATAATGGAACTGAATTTATGAATGTTGTATGTGCTACTTTGTTTAAGGAAAGAGGTATAGTACATCAAAGATCATGTCCTTATACTCCACAGCAAAATGGAGTAGCTGAAATGAAGCATAGACATCTATTAGAGGTGACTAGAGCGCTAAGGTTTCAGGGCCATATTCCTATAAGGTTTTGGGGTCAGTGTGTACTTGAAGCTGCTTACTTGATAAACAGAATACCTAGCAGAGTTCTAAGAGGTAAATCTCCATATGAAAGGATGTATGGTGTTAAGCCAATGATATCTCATCTTAGAATATTAGGTTGTTTATGCTATGCTAAAGTGTTAACTGAAAGTGATAAACTAGCATCCAGGACAATGGCTGCAGTACATATGGGGTACTCAGAAACTCAAAAGGGTTATATTTTGTTAGATTTGACTTCCAACAGCTTCTTTGAATGTAGAGATACGATATTCAGAGAGTCAGTCTTTCCTTTCTTAACTGTTTTAGATAAAAGTGAAAAAGGTCCTTTTGTAAATCATTTGGATAATGATATGCTGAATGTAGAATGGAAGTTAGGCTATGATAACATGAGTGACAAGAACAAAGTTAATCATAGGATGTACAAGAAACTCAATGTGATACAGAATTAGACAGAAACTTGACTGATAATATTGAACAAGATATAGTGGAGGAAACAGTTCAAGGACAGGATTGTATGTCTAATGATCCTCATACAGTGGTGAATAGAAGGTCTACTAGAGGAGTTCATCCACCAGTTTGGATGAAAGATTTTGTGTCCTTAAATATGGGCAAACAGGTGAAGTATCCTATAGAGAAGTGTGTTTCATACAGTCACTTATCTAAGTCTTACCAAGAGTTTGTTGCTGCAACTTCTGTGCTAACTGAACCTACTTCCTTTGCTGATGCTAGTAAAGATCCTAAGTGGATTGAAGCAATGCAAGCTGAAATACAAGCATTACAAGATAACAACACTTGGAAACTAGTTGAGTTGCCTAAAGGGAAGGTTGCTATTGGATGTAGGTGGATCTATAAGATTAAGTACAAGTCAACTGGAGAAGTAGAAAGGTATAAAGCAAGGGTGGTAGCTAAGGGATATAGTCAGCAAGAGGGCATAGATTATAAAGAAATTTTTTCTCCTGTAGTAAAAATGGTCACAGTAAAAACCATTCTAGCCTTAGCTGTGTCCAAGAGTTGGCATATACATCAAATGGATGTATATAATGCATTTCTAAATGGTGATTTAGAGGATGAGATATATATGTCTATGCCACAAGGGTTTTCCAATCAGGGGGAGAATATGAATAAGGTAAGCAGATTGGAAAAATCATTGTATGGGCTTAAACAAGCACCAAGACAATGGAACCATAAGTTTGCAGAAAGTCTATAGAAGCGGCATTTCAAGCAAAGTCAGTATGATCACTCTTTGTTTACAAGGAGGACAACTGAAGGAACTACGATAATCTTGGTTTATGTGGATGATATTTTAATAACAGGAAGTAGTTTAAAGCTGGTGGAGGAAACAAAAAAGTCCTTACAACAAAGTTTTAAAATGAAAGATCTAGGAGAGTTGAAATACTTTCTTGGGATAGAGTTTGTAAGGTCAAACAGTGGAGTTGTCATGCATCAAAGAAAGTATGCACTTCAACTTATTTCTGAAATTGGTTTATCAGGAGCAAAGACTACTGGAACACCTATGGATGTAAATGTAAAGTTGACATCAAAGCAATATGATGATCAAACTGGACAGAATCAAGATGAGCCTCTAACAGATCAAAGTGCCTATCAAAAACTGATTGGGAAGCTGCTATATTTAAACATGACCAGACCAGACATTTCTTTTAGTGTTCAAACTTTAAGTCAGTTCCTACATCAACCAAAGAAGTCTCATATGGATGCAACACTTAGAGTTGTCAAATACATTAAAGGACAGCCAGGTCAAGGTATACTGCTATCTAGCAAGTGTAGTAATGAAATTACAGCTTATTGTGATGCAGACTAGGCAGCATGCCCTCTTACAAGAAAGTCTGTGACTGGCTATGTGATTAAACTTGGAGAGTCTGTGGTGTCTTGGAAAGCTAAGAAGCAAACCATTGTTTCAAGAAGCTCAGCTGAAGCTAAGTATAAGAGCTTAGCTTCTACTGTGACAGAGTTAGTTTGGTTGGTTGGAATGCTGAAAGAATTAAAGGCTGAGGTTCAGTTACCAGTTCAAGTATATAGTGACAGCAAGTCTGCTATTCTATTGGCCTCTAATCCAGTCTATCATGAACGTACTAAACACATTGAGATTGATTGTTATTTCATCAGGGAAAAACTTCAACAAGGGCTGGTTAAGATTACTTATGTTTCAACACATAATCAGCCGGCTGATTTGCTAACCAAGGGTCTCAACAGGCCACAACATGACTATCTACTGTCCAAGCTAGGGATATTAAATATTTTTACACCACCTAGCTTGAGGGGGAGTAATGAGATAGTTAAAAAGAAGGAGAGTGTTGAGAGTTAGTTAGGACTACTTCAAGAAGTTAGTTACCAAAAAGTTAGGTAAGTTAGTTAGTCAAGGAGAATATAAGTACATAGGATTTAGTCATTGTATACTTACTTCTAGAATAAAATAGGGAAAATGCATAAGTACCCCCCCAGCCTATGCCCGGAATCCCTGAGACACACCTAACCTTTACTAAGGTCCTATTACCCCCCCCCCCCGAACTTATTTTTTAATAATTTTTTACCACTTTTCGGCTTACGTGGCAATATAAATCAGATAGGTTGAAAGTTTTGTTCAACACGCGTTAGGCCCCACTTTTTCAACTTTCTAAAAAGTAAGTTATCCACTTTCAATTAACTCTACCAAAAAGGAAGAGAAAGGAACAAGGGAAAGAACATTATCTTCAAAAAATTAATTTCAGAAATTCGATTACAGACTCATAATTGATTTTCTATGTTGGATTTTAGTACTTAGTGTTCGATTTCAGTCGTGCATGTGTGGATGTGGGTCGATTTCATTCTTCTAAGTCATCAAGAATCGTGATTGAGTTCAAAGGTTAGTTTTTTCTTGATTTTATTTTGTTTTTTTGTTGTTGTTATACTTAGATTTCGTAGGGTTCATGATATGTTGTTAAATATTGGTTTCGATCTTTGAGTGAAATGGAACTTCATGCTTATTTTTTAGGGTTTATGTTATGGTACTGTTAGATATCAAACTTCGTATGTAACTTGTTATTCATATATTCATATTGTCACATATGTTGCTATGGTATATTCTAAAGTATTTTTTGGTTGGGTGGTATTATATTTGTGTGAGTTCTATTCTCTTTTTAAACATACAAGAAGACAAAGACGAGTTGGGTGTTGTGTTGTATTGTGGGGTTACGGTAAAATAACTTCATGTTGGGTCTTGTGTTGTGTCTGTGTGGGGTTACAGGCCTAATTCCAAGAAGACAAAGATATGTCGAGTATTGTGTTGTGTCTGTGGGGTATGTGTGTTCTGTATGTGTGGGGTTATAGTTACATTAAAAAAA